CCCTGTTTGGCTGGCCATTTACTCACTTGGGGATGGTAATTTTGGGTATTGGAAAATTATTAGAAATTCCCTTTCTACTTTTCCTTCTCTGTGGACACTAATTCTATTAAAGATCTTCCACACAAAGTCTTCTTTGCATTTGTCCACATGGGTGGCTGAGTCCTTTTGGAGTGTGCACCGGATAATAATTGGGGGTCCCTGAATATTCCCTTAATGCTAATGTGCTAACATTTTTACATGTCTAGCTTTCCTACTAGTTTGACTTACTAGATGTAGGGTAAAGAAAATATCAGGCTTTTCTGCCCTTCCGCCATCAGGATAGATGATGGATCCTTGTCCTGAATGCATGCCTGATGGCGGGCACCTGGAGTAGGGTGTGGGCATAGGTAAATGGGATTCAGCTGAGCTAAGACTGTGCTTTTAAGGGTGGCGTCACGGGGGGACGCCAGCAGCAGCAGCAGCAGAACCTGAAGGAGAAGCAGAAGCAGAGAAGGCCAGAGAGCCCAGATAGAGTGAAGACTTGCTGGGGGCTGGGAGGTCTGCCAGCCTCCCAGCCCCCCAGCCAGCACCCCTGCCTGCCATATGCCTGGTGAACCCCAAATAAAAAACCTGCAAAACTACTGAGGACTCTGACTCCTCCTTTACCCGGTCTGCATGGGATCAGAAAACCTGCACCGTGTCCAGTCCGGCCTCTACACTAGACTACAAACTCAAAGGCAATGTTGTGCAACCGTCCCAGGCCAGGTAGAATCACCGTTGGCTCTAACAGTTTAAAAGAGAATTTTGAGGCCCTTAGCGTCATCTTCATTTTAATAGTAATCAGGGAAACCAGTCATCAGGGACAGCAGCTTGAGCTCCCCTCCCCCAAGGTGATGCAGCCTTTTTTATCCCCGCCCTCCTAGGCACAGGTGTGCACGCTTGCACATGCGCACACACTCATGCTCAGGTGTCCACAATCAGGCATGCGTACCCCACACCCACGTGCCTCTTCCGCTCAAGGCCACAGGTGATAACCACAGAGGCTAGTGGCGTACGAAGCCTGTTTAACCCATTTACCCTACAGTCAGGATCTATGGGCTTCGTAATTTTGTACTCAAGACAACCAGCCCTGTGTCTTTCAGAGAGTAGATGCTCAGTGTGGATCTGTTGAAAGGAAGAACTGGAACATGAAAAAAGCGGTAGGGGGCGGAGAAGGCATGGGGTCCATGACAGTGGAACACGGAACAGAGGTCTCCAGGCATCTGGACGAGTATCCTGCTGTAAGGGGCAGGAAATGGAACACGGTGCAGGTTTTCTATGACCCGAGCAGACCAGGTAAGGAGGAGTGAGTCCTTGGAGCCCTCAAGTGGCTTTTGCAGGCTTTTATTGGGATTTACCAGGTACGCAGCAGGCAAGGGGTGCCAGGGGGCTGGGAGGCTACTAGGGCATCACCTACCAGCCTCCCAGCCCCCAGCAAGTCTTCACTCTTTCTGGGCTCTCCGGCCTTCTTTGGTGGTCTCTGCTGCTCCTCCACTCTTCCATCCCTTCTCTGCTCTCTGCTGCTTCTGGTGTCCCCGTGATGCCACCCATAAAAAGCCCAGTCTTAGCCCAGGTGAATCCCATCTACCTATGCCCACACCCTACTCCAGGTGCCCGCCATCAGGCATGCATTCAGGACCGCAAGGATCCATCATTAATCCTAATGGCAGGAGGGCAGAAAAGCCTGATATTTTTACCTTACGCTCCATTTGCCTCGGAGGAGACAAGGTTAGATAAGGTTAGAGCTTCAAAGGCAGAAGACCCAAAGGGGACACAATGGTGGGCAAAAAATTTGATAAGAATTTGAAAAGTCCATTTTCTAGAAAATCATGCATGAGGAAAGATAAAATCTAGTGAAATCATTCTTTTTGTTTTTTAATAGGAGAGTAGTAATCTTAGCTTTGTAGGAGAGACGCTGCATGGATTTTCAGCAATGAGTAAAACCTACAAATCAGACACTCCAGGGCTGTATTTCAGGCATTGCTCTGCAGGGGACTAGGACACCTAAGATATTTTCTTAGAACGCTCCTTAAGAAGTGATGATAATTAATATTTATTGAACTCCATTTACACTGTGGGCCAAGCCTAGGTGTTGGCCTGCATTAATTCACTTAATCCTCCTGTAGACCTTGGGGTGTAGGTACTATTAACACGCTCCTTCACAGGTGAGGGAGCTGATGTGCAGAGAGGTCCCCAGGTCAGCAAGGTGGGATTCCACCTCAGGGCTATTTGTCTCCAGAGCCCAAGCCCTTCTCAGGCACAGCTACCCAGACCCTTCTCCCCGTCCTTTTACCAACGGAGCCCTCCCTTGATCAGATTTTGATATCATGGAGCGTGACCTGGGGAGGGGATCTACTGTAGGTTTGGAGTTGAGTCAAAGTTGGTTAAAAGCACCACACACCGCCTTCTTGAAAAGCCTCAGAGTCTGGCTTTTTCTTACATTGCAGCAGGGTTTTGGAGGGCATTTTGATGAATGTTTTTTTGCTCTCGGTACACAAGGGGGAGCATTTAGCACAGGAATGGGAATAAGATTACCGTAGGGAGTAGTTTTGCTTTTTGTTGAGAAGAACACCGCCTCCCCTCTCTCTGTTACAGCCCCTCACAATGTCTGGCTAAACCATTTAAAAGCAAATTGCAGACACATGAGATTTTACGTATAAAAACTTTGGCAGGATTTCCTAAGAACAATGATGTTCTATCTAATCACAACAATATTATCATGTCCAAGAAATTTGACATTGATATTATCCTATATTCAGATTTCTCTAAATATCCATAGGGTGTCCTTAATTGCTTGTTTCCTTTCAACCTTTGTGCACATGGGATCTCTTAATATTCTCTTAATATTATTGGATCGTGGTCATTTTTCTGGAATATTTTGTTGTAAAAAGTTCATTATTTTCACTGGCTATTTAATATTCCATGAAGCTGATGTGCCATAACTCACTGATATATTTCTCTTTGTAAGTATATCATGGTATTACATGAGGCTTTTTCTTTATCAATTGTGACTCAAGTACCAATTGGATATCAGATTTCAAAGTGAGAGTCTCTCATATCAGATGTGGATTCACCAGGTGTCATATGCTGTTCCCCAGAAAGCTTCTGTGGTGGAGACTTGTGTAGAGTAGTTGTGTTGGGGAGTGTGAGGATCAACACAAGTAGGGGGGAATAAGGGAAGTCGAACTGGGCAGAAGGGGTAGTTGAACTTTGACTCGCTCACTACAGTGGCTCCAGCCGGTCCCTTGAGGAGCTCTGGAGCTGAGATGATCTTGCGGAGGCGTCCCCTATGGAGGCCTAGGCTGAGGCTTTCTGTGTCTCTGTGGACAGTCATTGGACACGGGTTACCTTGGGAAAAGGCCATGACCTTGAGTGAGGTAGCTCTCTTTAGCTTAAAGCACTTTTCAGAGACTCAGAGTGGGAATGAGAGCTTTGGTTCTGAGGGGTGAAGGCGAGACCACAAGGTCACTCCACCAGGGGGCTCTCATGAACCTGATGTCTGAGTCTTGGGGGCCCTCTGCTCCACCAAAACACACTTGATCAGAGTGATATAATACAACTTCAGAACTGGGGAATTGACTTGACATTGGTACAATATTTTGAACTCAACCATAGACTCCATTTGGTTTTCATATGCATTTATGTTTGTGTTACTATGAAATTTCCCCCAGTGTAAAGATTTGTGGATTTGTGTCATCACTGTCACAACTGCTCTATTACTACAAAGAAACTTCCCCAGGCTACACCTATAGGGGCAGAGCCTGCTGCTGAACCTACCCCTGACAACCACTATGTATTCTCGATCATTATCATTTTACCATTTCAAGAGTGTCATATAATGGAATCAGGCTTTTCTTACTCAGCCTAACCTTCTGGAGTTCCAGCCACACCAGGTGGTAGTAGTAAGACATTGTCTATTCACACAGTGTTTATCCATTCTGAGAGAGTCATTTTAAGTCCTGAACAAGAGGATCCTCTGGGTGGGTGAGAGGAACTCAATGACATCTGAATGGAGTAAATTGCCAAGGCACTGAGCATTGAGGGGTAGTGTTAGCTGGGATGATATGCTTCTCCTTGTCCTGAGAAAACTGAAGGAGGTCTCCAGAGATGGGGATCTTCAAAGATTCCATGAAAAGTGCCACAAGGGAGAGGCGGTTTTATATAGATGCAAGGCCCGGTGAGTGCAGAGACTGCTTATAAGAGTATGGCCACAAGCCAATCAAAGTATTTCCAGGCATAACCACTTCCTTCTGCACCTTCTGTCCATTTTGACATCGGATCCAAAACAGCAGCCAGCGAGTGGGGAGGAAGTGTGAGAGGAGTGGAGAAAAGAAGAAACTGACCACATAATTAGCCCTCTCTTTTCTCCTTGCGAAAATGTTAGCCAAGAAGGTTGGGAGTCTTTGTTATGAAAACTGAATTGTTGATAATAAAATAAACCAACACACCGATTACTCTATCAAGACCACAGTTGTGACTTGACCTGATCACCTGTGTGTGAGCAGAGCAGGCAGGACCTGCACTACTTGTCATGTGAATTCAAAGACCAGCTCCTTTTTTCCCCCCACCCACCTCTGGTCCCCCAAAACTGAGTGAATTTTATTTTCAAAACTTTTCTTTAGAAAGTATTTTGAGATTTATGTTTTCATTTTTTCAAAGATTCATTTTATTTATGCATACAAGAGCTGGGGTACAGGCCAGAGGTGTAGGGGGTG